CAGTTATAACAGTATGGTCACAAACATCAGTCAGAAAGACCTTGAAGAGCCCTTGCCCTTCCTTCGGGTGAGAAGTACCAGGAGATGTGCCACCAGGTTGTGAGCATTGACTGCCTCGGGGGGTTGCCCGCACACTCTGAGCTGTCAGCGTGGCTGCAAGTGATGAAATCGCTGAACTAGAATAAGCCAGGTGGCCCCTTCTGACAGCAGAACTTCAACAACTGCAAGGGATTTTCAAAGTGAAGAGCAAAGAACCAGCATTGTCACATCAGGTACTACTTCATGGGAGATGAAGCATCGGCAGCCTATGAAGTGTAGAGAGAAAATTCTTCATTTATCAAAATCATTGGAATACAGTTTTTCTTAAAAAATATTCTAATTTTCTCCAATCTAGCTACAGAAATTGAATTTGACATACTCGTCTCAGTTCCATGATCTTGTTATAGGATTCATGTAATTAAATTCCTGCTGCATATGAAGGATGGTGTCCTGCACCTAGAAAAATACTTGGGCACCTAAACACAGCTTAGGCACTGAAGCTTTGCCAAAGTCCAAAACCATCATGTCATAGGTCTCAGGAACTCTCCCAGATTGCTCTGCTGTCTAGTACGTGTATATATGCTCTTACTTCTGGCCCAGTTGTGAGGCAAAAAGCCTGTGGCATTTTTCTCAGCAGCAGTCCTCACTTCTTAATTCAGCAACACTTCTTAATTCAAAACATGTTACTCACAGGTAGGCATTGGTGGGAGGGTACACAGCCTTGGAAGAAACAGTAATTATTTACACAGTCCAACAGGCCTCAAGCACTTGAATACATTAACCAGGCTCCTAAATTTACTCTGTAGTCAATGGCTTCTTCAGAGCCAATATAGACCAGGACCCTTCAGACTGGACTTCACCCTTTGATGGAGCCCCACACCCTTCTTCAGATGTACGCAAAAACTGTCCTCCCAGGTTTGACAAATAATTAGCAACTAAAGCTTTGCAATATAAATAATCTTATGATGCCCCTTCTGAGGGGGGAAGGAGCTGGGGTGTGTGGACTGCTCAGGACCATTGTTTATATCTGAGTCTGACGGGTACTGTGAAGTGGATCTCTTTGGGTTTGGATTAAATGGGAAATTATTTTTAGCTGCAGACTGACAATAGGAGTTTCCTTCTACCTTTTCTTCTGGGAATGTTACAAATACAAAGGATGAAAGTGCATCTTTTTTACTGGTGCTCTTGTATTGTTCTGCTTCTGGCTCTCTGTCATGTTTTGATCTTTTCCTTTGTTCATTTTCTTAAATACTATAAGTAAATATCTGACTTAGCCATCCAGCCACACAGCAGGCTTTTTCTCAGCATAAGCCATAGTCTCTGCTGGATGCCCCATTAGAGTCATTTTTATTACACTGCTTGCTTCCAAAACACCCTTGCAGGGCTGGTCATAAACAGAATGTGCATAGGAGAGTCTACATGCTATATTATCATCACACATTTTATGCTTTTCGCATGTGCCTAAAAAGTTGTCCTTAAATCTACCAAATTGTTTGGATCTTCATGAAAGAGTGTGTAAAAAAATTGTGTGCTACATCTTGCAAGGAACTACTGATACTCAGTGTACAGTGATGTACATGTAGTTTACTTAAGCACTTCTAATGCACTGCTGTGCATTACTGACCCAGGACTGTTCCATTATGTTTATCTCTATAATGATACTTTTCTATCCCAGGAGTATTATGTGTCCCCTACAGACAGAAAGGTAAAGAGAGACTGAGATCCATAGCTGCTGGTCTAAAGCCTGACTTAGATGCCAGGAGATCCCAGGCTTGGCATTTCCCACTGTCTGGGAAGAGTCTGTCAAAGGCACTGAATTATTAAGAAAAACTGGCCTTAGGAACCTACATGAACACTGGATTGAACGAGTAGGTCTTCAGTGATTTTCCCAAACATGTTTATGGAGAGCATGCAAATAAACAAAAAGAACAAAATAACATTGTAGTACAAGCTGTGTGGTTTCCTCCTGCAGGAGCTCTTACTGACATGGAAGCCAGCATCTCACTAAATTCTTCATGTGTAATTATGACTTTACATTACATTTATTTTCCTGGTGATTTAGGAAAGAGCTCCAATATACACAGTCTGCATCCAGGTTCATCTGCTGATGTAAATCTCGCATCCTGGTTGTCTACACGAGATTGCCATTGGAGTGCACTGTGGCTCCAGTCCAGCCTGTGTCTGGGTTTCCTTTCCACCAAAGAGTGAGTATGGGACCAGAGGGAAAGGAGGAGGGCAGGAAGGGATGCAGGATGAGAGCAGACTTGGGTCTTGCCCCAGGAGGGATCAAAATGAGTGTAAAGTGAGCTTCTGGAGCTGGGGACTTTGAGGTGATTTTCATCCAATGAACTACACGTAGCCACACACTCCCTTCATAGGTAGTTGACTCAAAGTTTTTGCAAGCACACCATCACTCCTTTTGAGATTTAGTACATCTATCCTTGCTGTCACTGGTACAGATACCACATGAAAGGGGACTCACTTTTCCATCTTCACAATCGCGTTTGTGGAAACACAGAGCTGTAAAGAAACTGGCTCCTCACTTGGATCAGATTAGTCCATGTGCAAGACACAAGGTGATGGAAATGAAAGGTGGCCTCTAGCATCCTCTGTTACTGCTCACATAACAAGCCACGGCAATATACATACTAACTCTGAAATGTCTACATTTTTACAGTTTATGATCAAGAAAAGTCATGAGGGAGCTATTACATGGGGACAGCATTTGAGTACTCAAAACAGATGCTGGTTTGGGGTTGACCTACAGAGCACCAGACCAGGTGGTCAAACCATGACAAAACATGTTTTGAGAGCTGAAGGGAGACGTCATATTATGCTAACTCAACTCTTTAGGTAGGTACCAATCAACTCCTGCAATGAAAAAAGGACCATAAAGCAGATCCATTTCCTTAGCCAAAGGCAAATAGTACTTTTCACTACAGACCCATGGGGTACCTGAGGGTGCAAGCTGTTCTGCCAGAAAGGTTATATTTTGACATAAGCATTATATACAGTTTTTCACATCACTTAGAGGCAGCACACATAGCTAAACTTCATGGAGTGATTTAGAAACTTGATTAGATGGTTAGGCAGCTTGCATTTCCTCAGTGAAAAAGAAGCTGAGCTATCTATCTCATCATCAATGGCTCTTGTTGCACAGCCTGCTGCACAGCAAGGATAAGTTAGCTCTTGCTGCCAGTTTTCATTTGTTTGTTTTTCCCAGATAAAAGGGCAAAACCATTAAATAATGGCTGACCATTTCACATGAGTGAAGATGTTGGTGCAGTAGGCTGGTTTCTAAACAAATGTTTAGTGATTTGACACACAGCAAGAAAAAGATCAGGCACTTCTAGGTTTTATCCTCATCCGCACATGAAACAACTTTATTTCTTGTAGTAGTTTATGAGCAGCACGGGTCTGTGGCTGCAGAAGTGAGCATATCACTGGCTGCTGATCTCTGCTAACCTCACCTGGGTATTTCACAAAGCCATCAACCTCCCATTAAGGCAGCGGGTACCATACCTGTACCCCCACATCACGGAGAACCATGGGGCCGCGTTCCCCTCTCCTCCGCCTCACAGCCTCTTGCTCAGAGTGAGGGAAATCATGGAATGAATAAAGAAGCTGGTAAAACTCAGAGCTTTCACCCTGCTTGTGTAGTTAAAATTGAGATACTACTTCAGATAACTTTAAAGTGGTATAAAAGAGTATCACCAGTAAGTTACGCATATACTCACAGATTTATCATCTGAACCTGAAAACTAAAGTCTTTAAAATTGATTACTTAAACAGTCCTCACATTTCTATATCATGCAAAGGTGATTTGCAAATAAGTTCTTTAATAATGGAAATAATGCTTCCCAATACAGTAAAAAGCCTAGGAGTTATTTTTGCTTTTGGTATTTTAATTTTTGCCCTAAAAAGTATCAGGAATACACGATATTTTTCTTACTGTTTTTAAGGAAGATTTCTCTAGACAAACTTAAAATATTCACAGTGAATGTTAAGACTAACCAAAGGGGAAAGATACCAGTTCTTCAGCAAAAGTATTTTCATTTCAAGATAGTAATTAGTCAATAAAGTTGAATATGTAAACTGTTGGTGGTGGTTATAACACTTAACAAAACCAAGTCCCTCTATGGTATAAAGAAGCTTTTCCTTGTCTCCACTCACCCTCCTGGCTCTTGAGACAACCTTTGGATATTTTTTCTTCTTTTTTTCTCTTTGCAAAGAATACCTTGATACTTCCATCATAAAAATCAGATTAAATAAAACCCTTTCAGTATTATCAAAAAGCAAAACTAGCCTGAGATGATTTTTCCATCTCTTTTTCAAGTCATCTTTAGGAATTGAGATAAAAATTTCTCAACCCATGAAATGCCATCTGTTTCCTTTTGGACGGTTCTCTTCCCTCTCACAGGTTTTGTTTTGAAATGTGGAAAAGGAGGTAGAAGAAGGAGAAACACCCATGCATCGCAAGTCACACCACAGCTTTTCATACATTAAGGTGTTTTAAAGTAAAATATTCACTCTAACTTTTTTTATGAAGCATAATATCATCTATAATAAAATATAACAATATAACGTGCAGTATATAATGTATAATTGCAATGCCATCTGCTGGCGGTGTATGGTGGGAGAACACAGACAAAGCCCCCTTACGCGACGGCCAGGTATAACCAACCTCTCGGGATGTGTCGGAAATAACACGGGAGGCAGTTTCCCTCGGAGCCGCTCTCCCCCTCACCCCGCCATCCTCCTCCTCACTGCCCTCACCCCGCGGAGCCCGCTCCTGCCCCATCCCACACCTTGCTCCCCTCCAGAAACACCCGCACAACCAAGTCCCCACAGCCCCTGATTTTTGGCCAGGCCACTTTGAAGGTTGTAGTCAAGGGCCTTATTTCGAGCCCGCGTGCTTTTGCAGAGCGCAGCTTATCGCGGTGTCTGCATCAGCCACGGGAAGGCACGGTTACGCCCCGTCACCCCTCCACGCTGCTGAGACTTCCAAGCGTCTTCAGCCTGGGGTCTTGGGGCTCCGGAAAGGTCTCCCCCCAAGTGACCCGCGTTGAAGGGGAAGGAGGCCAAAACGATGACGAAAGCTTGAGCTGACAAAGACAGACTGCAAGTTGCTTTCCTGGAGAGAAAGCCAGCCGAGCTACGAGCACACTTTAAAGATGCGACGGGGCGGCTGCAGGGTGGAGCGGCACAACCTCTCCCCGCCGTCCCCGCGAGGGTGAGAAGCAGCAGCCGCGCCCCCCGGGCTCCCTGGGGGTGGGTTTGCAGCGGCCCGCGAGGCGGGGCGAGCGGCCCGGCCCCGGGCACCGCGCCCAGCGGGCCGCCCCCCGCTCCGGGCGGCGGCGGCGGCGGCGGCGGGCGGATGGCGGCGGAGCTGGGAGCGGGGCTGCGCATCTTCCGCGATGTGAGTACGCGGCACCCCTGACATGAACCCCCACTCCAGCACAGACAGCCATTGCAAGCGTTTGGGGGGTGTGTGTGGGGGGGTGCCTTTTCCTATTTTCCTTGTCTCTTTTCCTTTCCCGCTCCCCTTTTCTCTCTCTCCCCCCCCTCCCCCCCCCCCCCCCGCTTTTCCTCATTTTCTTTTTCCTTTTCTTTTTTTTTTTTTTTTTTTTTTTTTTTCCCCTGGGGCCATGATTTCTTCCCTGGAGTGGAAGGGGGTGAAGCCCGGCAAAACTGTGGGTCTTCGTCGTTCCCTTGCCCCTGCTTTTCTTCTTCCTTTTTCCCTTCCCCTTCCCTTCTCCTTCCTCTTCCTTTTTTTTTTTTTTTTTTTTTTTTTAATGTTTTTACCATTTACAATGTTAAAGAGGGGAAAGAGTCTGCTTCTGACGGCATGCATGTGTGAGGAGAGCAGGTTAGCAGTTCGGGGGTGGTTAGGAGGGGTGCTGGGTGAAAATGCTGACACTTTTCAAAATACGTTGCTTGGATTTTTATTATTTTATTTTTTTCCTCGGCTTTTCACTGAGGAGTTTCTCACCCTGCAAAAGTTTTTTTACCAAACTGTGCAGGCTCCTTTCCATCCCAAGGGACCTTGATGGAGCTGAGGTGCCCAGGGTTGATGTGCAGAGCAACCCTGAGCCCCTCAGCCCTTTGAGGGGGAGCCCGGTGAGGTGCTCCTGCTCGCCTGGCCATCCTGCCCCTCAGGGCTGCTGTGCTAAACCATCGCCAGGGGGTCAGCATCTCACAAGATGCAGCTGTAAAGTTTAATGTCTAAACTTACCCGACACAGAGCATTTATTTGGTCCAAGGCAAGTCCTGATAAAAGGCAAAGTCCCACGCAAAGATTTCCAAAGTATCCCCTGTCCTTGATGAGACCTACAAATATTCAGACCAACCCTACTCTGAGCCCTGACCTACTCCATACCAACTCTTACACTGGGTTTAGTCCACAATATCAGCTAGAAATTATGCTTTTTATTAAAGGACCCTTTACCTAGAGGTTTTCTGTAATGTGCCCACATGAAGTTCCCCAGCCTTTTCCCCACATTATTTCAAGCAGATCCCATCTGCTTATCTCCTGATTTCTGTAGCCTCCATGAGAAATCATTTAAATTAGACTCTTTGTTGACTGGTATTATTTCCATTCAAGTGTATAATGAAAATGCAGCTCTTTTGTCTTATAAATACCACTTGTAAGAGAAACAGGAGAATTACAGGCATACATCATAAAGGCAGAAGAGAAACCTAACTTGCCAGGAGAGAGTTAAAAAACATTAAATGGACCCAACTCCCCTGTGTAACTCTGTACACTGAGTTAGGAAACTGTCTGCACATGGTCAGAATATCTGATAAACTGAAAAGTTTTTATGTCAGCCAATGTAAAAAAATCAATTCAAATGAAAATTATTTAGTTTTCAGCAATTTCTTAAACCAGTGTCAGGTTCATATTTATAGAAGAGCAGATGCCTTTCACAAAACTGGTGAAGAGGAGGGAGGAGGGGGCTGCTGCCATACTTCTGCTCTTAGATCTGAAGGAAAACCTTAAATTCAAACCTAATCTCTGCCTGCTTCAAAGCAGGGACTGAACACCGGGGGTCCTTCCTCCTGTGAGAGTACACTCATGTCATAGATATTTGAGGGTGTGCAGCTCTGTGATTACCCCTCAGTGAAGTAACCCCCCACCTGTATAAACACTCAACTGCGTATTAGACCAGGCAGCAAGAGACTGGCTGTAAGGCTGCATGGAAAGGGAAAGCACTGAGGTGCTGGTCCCACGGGGGGATAGGCAGAGACCTGATGAGACTGAGACCCGATTGATGATGCAACCTTGCAACCTTCACACTGGTTTTGTGTCAAAGTCCCTATCCAGTGCCCAAAGGATATTAACATTTCCTTAGGGGTATTCTTTAAATTAATTAAAAATAATAATAATTAAAAAATGAATAAATACATACATTAAAATAATCAATTCAAAGTAATTTTTGAAGTAAAAAAGAAAAATTACTTACGCAGAAACTGCTGTCATCCTTGACCCATACTTACGGAGCCCTCCTAGTTGACTGAAACTCCACTGCTGCAGCAGACCCAGTCCTGCACATCCACAAGCCAAGCCTGAGCAGCCAGCGCTCTTGCTCACATAGAAGTCTCGCACGAGGTGTGGGCTGCGTCACCTGGTGTGGCTGTAACACCCGCGGGGCTCTGCACCGGCCCTTGCTACTCATGGCACAGGTCACCGGTCACCTGTGCATATTGCTCGGGCCGGTGCAGGGCGTACTGACGACCCCCGCCGAAGCACACCTTGCTCTTCCCCACCAGACGTGCTTGCGCACGTGCCCACGGCACTCAGCGCAGCCCAGGCACCCACGAGGCAAGGAGCGAGGTGCCAGCGCTAGCAGCCCCCTTTTGTACGCGTCTACCTGTTACTGGGTGTAACTGGGCAGAAGAAGCCTTTAGATCTCGGAGCACCTTGTGTCTCCACCCTCCCCAAATTTCACGACCTCTCCGCTTCCAGCTGAAAATCTGCAAAAGCTTTCAGCACACAGGCTTTGCCATCTGTTAGCATATAGTTACTAACTCCTGAGCAGCACCAAGTCCTACAGGCAGCATGGAGGTGCCTACCTTGGCAAGCAGGGTGACTTTTTCTTCAGGTGACACAAAAAGGAAACAAGGCTGCTTGCTAGTGAGACAGGAGAAAGAGCAACAACAGTTCCCCAGAAAATCCAGCCAAACCTGCCAGGAATCTAGGACTGTATTTCACCTGTTAAGAATTGTAGAAAGAGTTTTTATTTTGTTCTAATAAATAATAATTTTGTTCTAATGCTTTTAATGATCTTCCCTTTGATCTGCATTTAGCCTTTAGTTCTCACTAGGAGACAATTTGCAGTTTAAGAATCAAAATTTAAAACCCCTAAACAGTCTAATCCTCATACTGAAAACTGAGTTGCAAGATAAGATTTATTTGGGTATACAGTGAGGGAAGATGTCATCTTGCTAAGTTTATTTCATACTTATGTGCTGTAAACTTGGTCCGGTGCAAAGTTCAGTTTAGAGACCATTAGTGAAGTCCTGGATGTGGGTCACAATTCTGTTAGTTCCCCACCAACTCCACCCTACAGAATACAGTCATGAAAATGCTCCCACAGAGCTTGGCATCTGGATCCTTGGGTTTCTCATTTGGTTTCCCCTCTAGAGCAGAGCAGTTATGGCATGTGCTGCAGAAGCTGTTTAAATACCACTAGCAGTTTATCAAACCAGAAAATGCTTCCATTGCTGTTATCTCTCCATAATACATGTCACCATTTTGAAACTCCTTTACTGATATTCATAGCAGAAATAGGAACTATATCCAGAAGATTTGCTTTCTTCCCATGCCTAAACTTGTTATAGTGTTGCCCGGATGACTCCCCATTGCGGCTCAGGCTGAAGTAGCGATGGGGACTACGTCCAGAAACATAGCAGGGTGACAATGGATGGCAATCACACATATCTGAAATGTCACATGGTGACCCATGCCACAGCAAAACCACCTCACCTGGAGAGCAGGGAGCAAAGAAACTGCAGGAGACTCCCTCTGTTGCTTCCACTCCCTATCACTGATCCCTTCTCCAAAGCGTGGGTTAACGTGGTGGTACCTGCAGTGGGACTCCAGCAGGGACAGGCGGACAGGCCAGTGTGTCACCAGCCATACGACAGGGCCAGTGCACCTGCATACAGTCCCGGATGGGTTGGTGCTGTGTCCCCCCGCCGAGGGCAGGGCTGGGCCTGGAAGGCTCTGCCACCTCTCCTCCTGGGATGCAACCCCCAGGATCATCTCAGACTTTGCACAAGAAGTTACAGGCTCTCACCTATGTATTTAAATAGCTTCTCCAGCAGTGCCATTTACAGGGGGGAGAAAAGGCAGACTGGCACACTGTGCGGGTAAGCTGGGGTCACATACAGTTTTCATGGCAGAAGTATTGCAAGGAGGGACATGCAGCAGGTAGCCTCACTCTGCCCTTGCTTTCCCAGCTTATAAACTTCTATGCTTTCCCTCTCTCCTTTCTGCCATATCTGGTTTCTACTTGCTATCAGAGCAATCCTCAAATTTGCTCCCACACATCTGATCTCACTGCCTCCCACACCCAGTCTGATCCCTCATGCCACCCAGCTCCTCTCTTGACTTATCTCTTTGCTTCCTTCACCCACACAAACCCTGAGCCTTTTCAACCATCACAGATGCTCAGCACATCCTCCCAGCTATCAACCTTACTTGCTTCTTGAAATCACTTCTCTAAACCCTGAATCCCCTAGCATGGTAGCCATACAGTATCAGGTTTTGTGTCTGAGCATCATCCTTATAAGCCATGCACAAGCTAGAAAATAAAGCTCATTCTTATTATGGTCTTGGTTTTCAGTGCACACAGCACAGGAGACGTCAAAGAAAACAATACTCTGAGGGAAGGATGGGGACACACTAAGGGCTTTTCAATTTTATACAGTCTTGTGAAAATACGATGTAGAGCTCAAACTATAAATGCCCATTAAATACAGCATTGTGTGCTATTAACCCATACCAAAAAAAACCCAAAAAACAAAAAACAACCAACCAACCAAAAAAAACTTTCACCAAACAAACAAACAACAAAAAAACAAACAAAACAAACAAAAAAAAAAAAACAAAACTGATTCTGTTCTCTCTCTCTTTTTGTTTAGATATTAAGAAGAGCAGACAAGAATGGTAAGACCGGTTATGTATCTTCCACCCTCCCTCTGGAAAAAAAGCAAATACCATTGATTGAGCATTTTAAGTCATGCTTTAAACATCCTAACAGGAAAAACAGCCATCCCCCATGTCATTTCTTGTTTTCTACAAGTTTGATGCAATGTATTTTGTTGTGTACTGATCCTGCCACAGGTTCTTTAGTGACAGAACTTGTGTTTTCACAATTTGGAATGAGTGTTTGATTTGCACTTTGGGTGCATGTGGGTGTGACAAGAAGGTCTGAAATACTTGTTAGTATCTCCATCTTATTACTTTTTAAAAACACCGTAGGCTATATCCAGCAATCAGATTTGTTTCCTACATTTTGCAGTTATGTATTTGTTTGACATGTCAGTAGGCAGAATAAAGCCTTGAATGCAACTCACATATTTATAGTACAGAAGTCATGAGTTTTTTATTATGTTCTTAATCAAAAGTTTTGCCTTCATGCTACTAACTGTATTTCCTTCCACATATATTTTCCCCCTTATTTAAATTCAGTAAGTTGGAATATAGTACTGTAAGGCTTCACAAATGCTTCTATTTTGGTGGCAGCAGGGAAATGTCCTTGCTGTAAGGACCTCAAGTGTAACCACTGGAATTTTTTGCTGGTATACGTGGTCATGTTCTTGAACCTGACTTTACCTCTTTGTCCCATCTCAGAATTGCTGTACAATTTTGGACAAGTTACACTGCCATTTTTGTGCCACATACCCCATCAGAGAAATGAAACCCCTACTACTTCTCTGCATCACACAGAGTGTGAGATTCAGTATGTTTGAGGCTATGAAAAGCTTCTTTAGCTCTGCAGTTACCATAATAGTATTTATACTTAACTTAGATAACCAGAGTTAGATCTCACAGGATGAGAAGGAAATACAAGCTCGCAATTTTTCAGCACTGTTTTACAGAAGTACAGAGATAAGACTTCTTGCAGAAGCACGGGCCAGACTTCCACCTTTTCCTGGAAATGTTGAAGAGTGTCAAACATACAGCTCAGACAGGTTTAATCCTGACAAGTAATTCCCACTCAATCCTCAGAAAATAGGTATTTTGTAGGTTCGATAAAGTGCATTCTCAGGTATTTAAAGGCATAAGGGATACTTCTGGGAAAATCAGTGTGTCACTTTCAAGGAAGAGCTGTTGGACAGTAAGGGATCGCCATACAGTTTGACAGTATAACTGAGCCTGTCAAATAACTGTTTATTGTTGCTGAGAGGGCAATCCCACCCCAACAGCCCACCTCCTGCTGCATATTCCTGCCCCAGTTCATGTGCAACAACGGGCAGGCTTCTTCAGAGAGCTTGGGGACCACAAAACTCATCACTGTGAGAGTTTTTTGTTACTTTTTTTTTTTTTTGTCTCCCTCAGTCAGCTTGCCAGTGGCTTGGAAGGGCAGTGATGGTGCAGGCTGAATCCGAAGATGAGGGCTGGGATGGGGAAGAGAAGGACCTTCCCCTTCAGCCATGCTTTTCCAGCTTAGCTATGTGCCAGCCACAGCCAAACTCTCCGGGCATCCCCCGCAGACCTCCTCACGGTGTTTGAAATGATGTTTATGTGTCTACCCTGAGGAGTGATGAGAGTCAGAGCGCATGGTGCAGAGCAGCAGTCATCTCCCTGGAGTCAAAAAAAAAAAAAACCCTGCAGCTTCATGTCCCTGCCCTGGACTTTGAGCTCATGCTCTGTCCCAGCCCTGGTGGACCCACAGCACTACGATGGTCAGGAAGACTTCCAGTCCTCAGTGGGCTTACCCCACAGTTTATTATTGATACTTTGCTGTTAAAATAGAGGAAACGGCTCACATGATCTGTGGCAAACTTACTTGTTCCAGAACAGTATGAAGCCACATCGGCCCTAGAGACTTTGGTCACTGGAGTTCATACCTATATATGGGTCTTTTACAACATATTATTGGGAGGAAAGTGGCGAAGTTCATCCACTTAAGTTCTATTATTTTAAATCCATGAGCTTGAAATGGTTTCGATTCTTATGTGCTTGATTGTATTTGCTCAACCATCAGCTGTCCGTGGGACTTCTACTTTGCTAGTGTAGCACTGCACAGGCTTAGGCCACATTAATGAGATCTGGTTTAGGGCTGGGATGTTAAGAACCTTCTCAGAAACTGAAAGCTCATCTAACATGCTTACACTGTTGTCAACACAGATTATTAGCTTTTGTTAACGACTAAGATACTTACACTTTCAGTGTCACCTTTCTGTGCTGCAGGAAACAAAGTATTGGCTTACTGTAACAAATACTATGTTACTGTCCATGACAGGCTCCTGTTAACCCATACACTTTTAATAGGTCTCTGTCAGAGCTACCATACTCGTTGTCTGTGAGATTAAAATGCTCCAAAAAAATTTTATCATCAAAAACCTTACTAGGTACTTGCTTGGCAGGGAAAAAAAAAAAAAAAAAAAAAAAAAAATCCAAAAAAGTGGATCAAGCTGATAAATAGGAGAATTACAGGAGATAGCATTCTTACTATGAATTTAGGGACTGTGGGACTTCAGGTTTGGCTTCCACAACAAGGAAAGACAACTATTCTTGCAAAGACAATGTAAGATAAGAGACTGAAAGAGCCAAGAAATCCTGCTCAATTGCTGTTACTCAAAAATACTGCAATGATTTATGACAGTTGGGTTTAATTGAGAAACTCCTTTATCAAACAGTCATTCCTCTATTTGAAAGAAGCTGTACAAGCACTGATTCCTCTGGGGTAGTGCCTTCCTTTTTTGCCAGCCCAGGCACATATATCATTCTGTTAACCTCCTGTTTTTGGAAATATCAGCTATGCACAGCTTCCACAAGGGGATCAGCTTCATAAACTCTATCTATAATTCTTATTTCATGGCTGAGCAACTCCACTCTGTACAGAGCATATCCATACTCCTCCTGTAACTGAAAAGGTCATGTGACTTTCTTAAAGGAAGGACCAGGCATAGGGACAGAATACCACATTTATAAGAAATATATGGTTCATAATATTGACAAAACCAACATAAAACCCTGCGGGGAATAAAGCAATTTCATAAAGGTGAGATGTTGCACAATGACCTTTTTGGAAAGGAGAAGTTTCAGGTTTGCATGTCAAAATGAGGTTTTGGTCAGGTCTACTTTACAAAACTCCATACATTCAAAGGAAAGCTAATTTGAAAAAGTTCTGGCTAAAATTAAAGTTCTTTGTTTATTTAATTCCCTTTTATATTTAAAACAAAACCAAACATTAAATTCCTCTCAAAAAGTAAAATCTTGACCCTAGCCAGCAGGGAAAAGCAATATGGAAAACTGGAACTGCCACATTCAGTCTTTCCTAATCAAGATAATTTTTTACCTCCTTCATCTCACAAGCAACAGTAGTTGCCCCACACACATGTGACTCCAGCACCTATATGTGCTTATTCTCCTGCTTGTCTTCATGAGGTGTTTCTCTTCTGATATGCTAAGAGGGACATGGGGCATCCCATTAGCCTTGCAGTGATTTACAATCAAGTGAAACAGTATCAGTTGTTGGTAAAGATCACCCTGGGGCCTTTCCTGACCGTGCAGCTTTGAGATGTGATCTGTTAGTATAGCCTCATGCTATCTTGTAGCTGAGAATGCTAATTTAAGCTATCCCAGAGGACTGAGTGAATATGCCTGGCAGAGGCAGGGGAAGCACCTCAGGAAGGAGATCTCTTGAATCACTCTAATGTGAACCACCAGAGTTTGCCTGGAGGCACTCTGAAGGTCACCACCTGTGGTATTAAATTTTTTTCAATAAAAGTTTTAGAGTTACACCAAAGCAAAGCATGCCAAGTCCCTGATTTCATAATTTTTCCTTGGCCAATATCTCCTAATCTGGGTCCACAATGTCTTGGCATCTCAGAAGGCCTTCAGCTAGCTCAGAGTGCCCCCAGTAATGCTGTGCGGTGGCAGCTGCAGCAGTGCAGGGGATCTCTCCTCCACACACATGGACTGACCAGAGATGTTACAGCATGACAGGATGACCCAGGTCTTGCGTGCCCTTCCTTGAGAAAAACAGCAATGTGTAGGGATCCCTTGGAGAATGTCTATGCACCATGATAGCCAGAAGTGCCAGGTCTTGACGTCATAGTAGCTGCATTTGAGCTATAGATTTACTGGATGTCTTTGCAGAACGTGTATTCTGAATGGAAGACAGAGCACAGAAATTCTCTGAACTACATCACTGATTATTTGAGCTCTCAAATTATTCAATCAGTACTGGTAAAATGGATTTGTAAGGCAAAATCCTTGTAGCACAGGCTCCAGGGACTCTTGCTACGCTGCTGTTTGCTTCCTGACCACCTGGATCCATTGCAGACACCACTCTGCCTCCTGTTTCAGAGCCCAGGTTCTGAATAGATTCTCCATACCACTTCCCTGGTACTGCAGGGTTGGACTCTGCACTCCAGATTCCAAACATTATCATTTCTGTAAAGACTAAGGGCCTACTTTTAAACCTGAACCTGTTAATCTAGTCCACTTACAACCACTTGGTTACATGTGCTAAGATTTTCCAGCATAACAGTTGGAATAATGGCCACTTAGCCATATGAGCTCCATCTGATGTGGCTCCTACTATGGAAAGACTGCTTTGGTGCTCCTCTGTGGAGCCCACTGGCATGTTTCACTCCTAGGAAAGGCTCACAGTCCCAACAAGAAGCCCAAAATAGGTGGGAATGGAAGCTGTTTTGATGCCCTCCAGCATGTGCTGGCATCTCTGTAAGACATCCTGCTCCTCTACATCACCATAACTCCCTTCAGTGGCTTCAGACTCACCATTTGCCGTCTTTGGACATGTAGACTCCAGATATATATATATATATATATATATATATATATATATATATATATGTATATATGCCCTTGTTCGTTATTTGCTTGATATCTTTTCACTCACTGAAATCTTCTTTCAACTCAAAAAGAGAGTATGTGTGTGGCTTTCCTTTATCAGATATGCTGTTGTCTACTGAAGTCATAAGCTATCCAAAATGTGTCCTGGAGGTTACTAGTGTTTCTGGAGCAGACTGGCTGGGGGATATCACTTGAGCCTATTTTAAACATAAAAACATCTATCCAATAGAAAGGTGAATTTTACTGAAATAAATGTAAGAATGCAATTATAACCTGAAGGAAGGCTCCCTGAAATCACAGTGTAAATATATTTCTAAACTTGCAAGTGCTACCTGGCGAGATTAATTTTATTGTTTATATTTTTGTCTGCCAGTCAGGAGTGTCCAAGGAGGACAGGCAACTGTGACTGTTTTTGAAGAAACCCTGCTTTTGAAAGACATCAGAAAACATACACAAAGCAAGCAAGGCTTGCAAAACAGCTTCTTTCAGATAACATTGCCAAGGCAAACACTACTGAAGGTTGATTTGTCTGAGGGATGAATGGCTTCAAAGAAGTTTGTCTTCCATGAATCATCGATCCCCTGTCGCTTTGCCGGTGGCAAGGATTGAAGCATCTGTAATAGAGGTTTCTGCTCAGCTGCTCTGAAGCACTTAAATCAGACAATATTTATCTGGGTGCTCCAAGGGCATCAAGGTGTGCCCCAGTGAGGCAGTGCTGAGGATATGTAACACAGACTTTAAAACAAAAGCCATTTTGACACTTAAAAACCCCTCTAAACCTGGCTAGGCAAACATGTCTTCAATTAAACAGCACAAGGAGCACTTGTTAGGGGTTGGGTCTGAGCTTCATCTGAGCACTGAGGAAGCGCAGGGGTGGCCTGGGCCACTGGTGGCTGATTCCTGAGCTCCACTAGCAAAACATTTATACACATACAAAATCAGAGAAATGCCCTGGAGAATCAGAGCCTTTTTCAGTAAACATAATGCATGAAGTCTGTAAGAACGAAACAGTTCCAAACCTCCTTGGGTTTTGCCAGCAACAAGCTCAGTGATGTGTCAGTCAATGTCAGTAACATTCAGAATGTTACTGAGAATAAATAGCAATGAAGCAAAAGGCTATGCCTGCTCTTGGATGATAAAATTTAAAGAAAATAGCTCAAGTACCCAGTCTGGCTGTTGGCAGATCATTGATTTTCTGTACGGATATAAAGCAAATGATGCTGAAGAACAGAGATAAACAGACACATGTTTCAGGTTTTGTGTCATATCCAGACTGTTCTATGAGTAAACTCATAATATGTTTATCTCAGGAAAGTTGCCAAAAATCACTAGTTTCTTGAGTATGTATATAACTTGCATGCAAATCACCTTTCCCAGCAAAGGCTAAAGCTACAGACACAGTTTGATTAAACAATCGATTATATCTGTATGAGCCAAAGGAAGCTTAGCTGTGAAAAGAAGCTTGTTTCAACACACTCAATATTTGATATTCCTTCTCTGTAACCAGTGCCAAATGGCAGATGTATTTAGATTCTCAATTAGGTAGTCATTGCAACTTTGTCAAAGAAAATTTCCTACCTTCAACACAGTGCTGTGCCATCTTGGTTTTTAGCTCTTGTAAATCTTGACATTTTATTTTGATCGCAATGATGATTATCTCCAGCTAAAATCTGTCTTTTCATATTAAACACTTCAAAATATTTTTGTTGAAGCAGACATTTAATTTGTACAGTTTTGAAACTTCTTGAGGATTACATATTTGAAGCCATATATTCAAGTCAAAGAAATTATTAAATAGTAGGAAGTAAAAGAGTGAGGAAGATCCTCAGCTCTGCTCTTCAAATCTGCATGCTGTACTACAGCATGTAGTTACAGCGTTCAGATACTGCCTTTATAATAGATTCTTCACCATTATAAAATTAGGACACGATATATTGCAGATTAGTCTGATGCTTAAGACTTCTTAGTCTTTCTGTCTACGGTTGTTTAGTGCCCTATGAGTGATTCAATATGTTACTGGTGGAAGAGAAAGAGACATGAACTTAAATTCAGTGCTACCCAAAACAGAGTTATGAAGTGCTAGGCTTTGAAAATATTCTTTATGCTTCACGTGAAGGCTCAGTCAGTTTAGATAAATTACAACTTGACTACTGCTTAACCATTCAAACTTCTAAATAAAAATAAAAGTTGGATCTTCTTTCTTTGGCTTTTGTTTTCTAATTATCAGTCTTGCATTTAAAACTCACTACACTAGTCAGTGAGGAATCAATTGCCCTAACTGTTTTAATGAAGTTATGGATTTGCCTCATCCTGACCCATGCACTTCTGAAGACATACCTGTACAGCAAAGGAGAGGGACAGCTGTTCTTCAGGAGAGAAGCAAATGTCAGCTGTGGCTGAGGGATCCCTGATGAAATCTCATGGGCTTCTGTGGGGTCAGTTTTCTATTTGCAAACTTCTTTCTTTAATTTTTTCGACATCCTGCTGACAAGTATTGGTCTGGTTCTCACGTCACCTTCTCCTCAGCCTTGAATCAGATACTCAGGAAAAAAATAGTTGTACTGACCATCGTATGTTGTTTAAATAGTCATTGTGATATGATTAGAGGCCAAAGTTAACAAAGTCTAATGCTTCTTGCACCCAGAGTCTTACTTTCCAAAACAGACAATAGCCTAAATCTGCCACTTCTGTCACTGCAGCCACAGCCACCCTGTGAGTGGGAAAGGATGTCCATATTGAGGCACATTTTATCTATTTCTGATAATAATTTTTAAAAAATAATGGAAAATCTGCAGTATAGCAATTTCTCTGGGATTATCAGACATGCGTAAGTGAGGTGAGATACAAGTATGATCCCTTCTTCAATTAAATGTTGTAGTAGTTATTGGAATACCCTTTATGAAGCATTGATGGTTGTGCAGAGTTTGATCTGACAAAAGGAGGGTAGAGCCTCATTCTGAAGTGATAACATCCTGAAATGAATCTGCTTAACACATCTCATCTCAAGGATTTTGCCTCCTGTAGTCAAGGTCTTGCTATAATTAAAGCTAAGTTAAGAAACAGATGAAACAGACTCCACTAAATAATGTAGTAGAAATTGTAATAAGGACTTTCTCCTCTTGAATTAATGTACATTCCATTCCTGTTCTTGTAAATGTTATCATATGGTACTTCCCCTCTGTCTGAGTCCCATCAGTCCTGCAGACACTTCCTGACTACATGAACATGTTACTAATGGTGATCAGGACCCATGTGGTGATGAATTGCTTTGTCCCAAACAAATGAAAACAGCAGATACTTAGAAAATAAAGTCAAATTCTTCCTAGTTGAGCTTCACTGTATATGAAACGATCAATTAAAACTGCATCTGAAAATCCATCTGAGGATTTTCACTGACCTCTGATATATGTCCAAAACAGTTTTCCCGTTCCTATATTTTGGTGTTGACTTCAGATGAATTGCATGCTAGCAAATAGAAATTTATTATTTTCTGTGCTGACCAAGAAAATGAGCTGCAATTCATTCAAGTGGAAGAAGACACAGAGCTTCTTCTTATTCCATGAAAATCAAACTTTCTTTTTAATTTATTTTGTCAATTACACACCAGGCATAGAGATTTGTGAGAAATATGCATTTTATGAAGAGAATCAAAATGCTGCAAGCCAGTACAGTGTATTGGATTAGTGTCTTTAGGTAGAGAGAAGCGCCAGTTTGCTGCCATTGACTTGTGCACTTGACTCTCGGTCTCCCGTGTGGGAGGCAGGGAGCAGAGGAAAGAAAGAGAAAGAAAAGGAAAGGGAAATGGATAGCTCCAGACAGCTGATGAAATTTTCATTGAACTAATATGTTCCTTCAACAAATATTTGCTTTTGCATTTCCCTGGATTTTCTCTGCCCCACTCAGTCTCAGAAGGTCCCTGATTTTCCATACAGAGGCAAGGACACGTGCAGGGAGCAAGTAGGGGAAGTGTGGGGCAGGATGGAAAGGAGCCACAGTGAATAGGATCAGGGCAAAGACAAGACTATATTGATGTGCTTGTCAGTACAGACTTACCGAAATCAAACTATCTTTGCTTGAAAGATGAGGAAGAATAACAGAGTTACCAGGAAAACTGAGGATTCTGATACAACAGCCAATGCATTTAGCATCCATCATGTTCTTTATGTATCTTGATCAAATATGTAAGGTTTCCACATTTAATCTGAAGAGCTAGAAGTTTTCAATAGTTTCCTCTTTTACTGCATGAAGTAAACAAGCAAAACCATAAATGAAACTAAGGCACTTTCCATTTCTTCGTTGTTTCAGATGATGGAAAACTGTCCTTTGATGAATTCAAAGCTTACTTTGCTGATGGAGTTCTGAGTGGAGAAGAACTGCATGAACTTTTTCACACCATCGATACGCACAATACTGAGTAAGTACCCCCTTCTTACAATTACAGTGCTATTTTCTGTACCTGAAGACATCAGGCTGATTTTAGAAAACAAGTCTAAGAAGAAAGCTGCTTTAGGGAAGATAGGTTGTGTCATATGACTCTAAACTGTAAGAATGAAGTGTTCATAAACCATGTAGAAATAACTGCCTGTTCCAATAAATGTGATTTGGGTATTGAGAACACAGAGTGAAAACTGGATGCATTCTGTGTTCCCCACCCACGATAGTAAGGAAAAAGGACTGTGGCCTCCTTCAGGCTTAAATATGAGTTTTTCAATTCTTGATCCCACTTCACTGATTGAATGAATACAGGAGATGAATACTTGGACCAGATATTGAGCAGGGGAAAAGTTAAATGAAGCAATCATATATAGTAAAGAGCAGAAAAAGCCATCTTGTCTGGTGCTGGCATGGTAATTGTGTTGGTGCTGTCACTTAGACTGTTTGGATATCCCTGTTACCATTGGGCTCAACAAGACCACAGGGAAATATTTTGACAGGAGCTTCATGAAGTTCAACAAGGCAAAATGCAAATTCTGCACCTGGGGAGGAACAACCCCATGCATCAATGTATGCTGGGGGCCACCCAGCTGGAAAGTAGCTTGGCAGAAAAGGACCTGGGGTGGACACCAAGTTGAACATGAGCTAACAATGTACCCTTGCAGCAAAGAAAGCAAATGGTATTCTGGGGTGCGTTACACAAAGCATTGTTAGCAGGTTAAGGGAGGCAATCCTTCCCTTCTACTCAGCACTGGTGAGGCCACACCTGGAGTTCTGTGTCCAGCTCTGGGGTCCTCAGTACAGGAGAGGCATGACACACTGGAGACAGTACTAAATTACCTTTTCCAATCAGAAGAAAGAGTGCTTTCTATTATCTGGTTAACATTTGTTACAGAGCAGAACCTAGATATAGATAATAAGAAAACATGCTTAAAGCTTAGATTTAAAACAGCAACAGGAAGCTTTCTGAATATGTTTTTTCATTAAGTCTTTAATGGATAAAAGGCTTAGTGCCTGACTTTGCAGCTAAAAAGTATTCTATACCACTTGATCTTTCTCTTTAACAGAGGCAAATACATTTTAAAGCACCTTTGAAAGCTTTTGAGAACCCTGTCATCAGGTAGGCAGCAAGATGGAGCATGCCAAATATCAGATGGTTATAGCAGTGACAGCTTGGACAGTATGATATAAACTCCTTGTAAGTATAGCTTTCCAGCAAAAATCACGTGAAGCAGATATAATAAGGAAGCAAAAAGTTTACTTACTGACATTTGCTGAAAAGGGCAGATTATGTAAAATGTCTCAAATTAACCAGCTGGCTAATAAAAATAGCAAAATGTTCATTGAACCTTGGGAATATTTGTAATCTAAGCATTAGGAGAACCATCTACATATCAAGCAATCCCCCAACCACCTATTTTACGATGTTTTCACTTGCAAATTATCCAAGGGAATGAAATTAAAATCATGGTTTGTGCCTATAATTTCAGAGTAGTTTATGGCTGGTTTTTAGTAGGGAAAGGTGAGAAATTCTACTCACTTGTGTACCCAATAGAAGATTTGCACAGATTATTTTGTCTCTCTTACCCAGTTAAAATACAGATTTTATCAAACTCTGGGCAAGTCATTTATCCTCTCTTCTTCACTTTGCTATTTACAAAATGCAGACTGTAGTTCCTTATCCCAGAAACATTCTGTAAGCATTGAGATTATGCAGTGATTTACACTACACGTAAATGCCTAGGACAGACAGCTAGGGAGGAATGTCATGATCTGCTATATCATTTCTTGGAGTTTCTCAGTATTTCATACCCAGCTTGTCACAAGAGCAGACTTTTGGTTATTTCTACCTGCATTAAATCTTTTAGCTCTGCCAGCATTCAAAACCTCACTGCCTGTGTGCATGAGTCTTTGTACTTCAAAGCCCAAAGATAAAAAAGGAGAGGTGGCCTTGTGGTGATATCCATGGGCCACAAGCTCAGGAGATCTGAATTCTCTTCTCAGTTCTGCTGCAGCAATCTTTCAAAAAAATACTCAAAGCATAAAAAACTTACATTTGCTTTGCACTTTTAAGAGAACTAAATTAACCAGGTATTAAAACCCCCTGCTACACAGGTCCTAATGTCGGTCTTGTTGAAGAGAGATTTGGAAGATTCTTAACTTTTAAAAAGACCAAGCCAAGCTAATGTAACATACCTGTTACAAAGCTGATGTGCTATAGAATACTGCTAAAATGAGCAATTACCATTTTCAATCTGATAGCAGGGCAAATAATAGGTGATTTAACTTCCCAGTAGTTAGGATCGTGTCTGCCTAACTGACTGTGCTCTCTGCACCTTGCTACTTGGTGCAGACAGGTGTTATCTTTTTAAAAAGTAAAAAAAGAGTCAATTGGTACTGCAGTGACCATAATCACCAGGAAAAAAAGATGAGTAGAAATTAGTCACCACTGCATAAAATTTCCAAGAGATAGGTTGAATACAAGTTCATTATGCCAGGATGAATTTATATTTACAATTTGTCTAGACCCTAAATTACAGGTTATTCATTCAGAAAAAATGATTGCTTTTACATCAGTACATCATTTCAACATAAATTTTGCAATTTATGAATATACTTATGTGTAGACAGGCTATTTTATTTTGTTTAATTAAATCTACATTACCTTATTATAACATTTTAAATATTAAATAAATACCAGTAAAGACACACCATACAAACTGATTTCCTGACTTTAACTTCCATTACTTCTTCCTCTTGATACAGCTAGAAACATGTGTATAAGTTAATGCATACCAAATACAGCATAGATCAATAATGATAGATTTGTTATCTCTAGATAATAAAATTAGGTGAAGTATTGTGTCCATGCAAACAGGAAGTTATTTTTTCCCATATTTTAGTAATGCTACAATGTTTTACTTTTCTTGAAGATATTTTAATACATGAATGATATTTGTAAGAACTGGCAATCAAAAAGATATATTGTAAACAATTAAATCTGTGGTGGAGTCTTCCATCCACTGAACCATAAGCCAATGTAATAATTAGTTTATAGGCACCCTACTAGATACACAAAGTTACACAGAAATTCCCCCCATTGGCAGAGTAGCTCATACATGTTCACAAGGCCCTAATATACGTTGTGGGCTTTTTTTAAAGCCTCCTATGACCACAAAGAAACAAGAGGACACGGGACCAATGGGCCACAGTGGTAACCCAGTGAATGCCAGTCTCCTGTTTGTTAATGAAGGCAGGGAAATAATACCAAGAATTAATTCATACCTTAAAGTAATTTTAACATTCTTCAGTAAAACAAGCAACTTTGATTATTCAGAGATACTGTACTTCAGAAGCTACATAAAGGGACAGTAGAATGCTTTGATGAGGCCATACCACTAGCATTCCTGACATGTGATTGGCACAAGGTGACTGCTTTAGGGGGTAGCAGTTAACTATTCTTCCTTAAATGCAGTTTCCACTATTGTCATTACTTTAGATTGAAGCTGAAAACCAATTAGGCATTTGACTTCCACTGAAAGTCATTTCTATTTGTTCTTTCCAGGATCTCATGAAAGCTTTTGGTAATCCCTATTCAATCACATACCATTAAATAGTATAAAGAAGCTGTTTTGGAGGGTCCACACTCAGGGGCCCTCACTCTGTCAGTGTAAGAAATTGCGTTGATGCAGCAGTGATGAGGTCTGGGCTGTTACTGCCCAGTCTCCAGGTTCTCATTTCCTATCACGCACTTAGTGCTTGCATATACTGCAAAGCAGTGTCTTGTATTTAAAGACCCTTAAAAAAAAAAAAAAAAAAAAAAAAAGAAAGTATAGGAAGTATAGGCAAGAAATCAAGAGCAATTATTATTAAATCCTTAAGCTTCAACCTAGAGTTGTACAACGATCCTTCTCCCCTTATTCATAATGGTTTAAGTGTTTTGCAGGTAGCCCAGACATAAGCATACTTATAAGCATCTGGGCAACATCTTAAGCTCTGTTGAGAGTGCCAGGAGGCCAAGGTAAATCCCCACAGTGTGTTGAGTAGGAGCCAAGCCCTCACAGAACGAATTAAACTAACATGAGGACATGGCTGTGAACAGGGAAGGAACAAGAGGAAGAGCTTATCTTTGCCTCCTGATTTGACACATATTTGGCATGACATCTGTGTTATACATCTGTAATGTCACAGTTGGAACTTTATCAATGCTTGTCCTGAGACTTCAAAAAACCTCAATGTTCTCTGCTTGAAAGCTGAGTTAACCTTTTTGTAGGAGTTCTGATAAGCTGAAGGAAACCCAGCGATTTTTCTCACCCCTCTCTCCCCCTACAACCTCAGCTCCAAGCTACACCTTGCTCAGTGAGGCTCCTCAGGGCTGATGGGAGCAATGAGAAGGGTGTTGGAAGCAAATGCAGGTGCTGCAAAGGCACCAGAAGTCTTTCCCAGGAGTGTCAAGGAGGGTGGAAGCACACGGATCATGGAGGACATGGTCTGTAGGTCATAGCTGAAGTCCTACACGCTCTGCTGTCTTAGAGCACCCTAGCTGTTAACTCTTCTACTGAGTGAATGTGAAACACTCATTTTAGTTGTGTAGCAATTTGTATTATCATGGCACAAGTGTAAATCAGTACACACAGCTCAAGGCAAAGGCTGTCAGGGATTGATGCTCAAAGCCACCTGAAGATAAAGGTGAGATGGTGATGTTAACTACAAGAAACATGTTTTGTTTTCAGAAATTGCAGACTTTTACAGAGGCAGTATCTGAGAAATTTAAGGCTGAGAGAGAAGTGGAGTTGTCTTGCAACTTTAAGCATTGTGTTTCTTAACACATATTGCCCTAAGCACTATTTTTAGGAGCAGATTGGAGCACAAGAATATTTTACAGGTTGAATAGGAAGAACAATCATGGAATGTGACTGGCTTTGCTGACTTTCCACTTGAAAAAATTGAAGAATTTTTTGATGTTATTTCCATCGCTAT